AGAGGTCAAAACATAAGTCCCCGTTTTCGGACTGCGTCCGAACGGGGTCTAAAAATAAAACATTCAGGACAAGTTTTGTTTTCAATTATCTTTATTGGACTAGCAGTAAATAATATATATATATATTGACAGACAGACATTTCTACTGATCAATGCTAGTAACAACAACCAGACTATTATTGCTAACAAGTTATTGCAATCCAAACACAGACGTGAATACAAAGTCACACCAATATTTAAGATCAATACAGAGTTTTCACCCATCCATCCCCAGGAGTTGGCCAAGACACTAACCCTTTTCTAAATCCTTCAGAAGACCATGAAGCTTAAAAATACTAACATTATTCACTTTTTTTTCTACTACATTTAATTGCTGCAAAATGATGAAAAAATTCAATAATGTTTAGCGTAAACTTGAAACTGTTTATTTTCTCAAATTTACAGACGTTTACTTCTTATAATAAACAAGTGCCTGGATTACACACAAATATATTTTCAACCTTTCAATGGACATTCTGCAAATACTGTATTTGCTCTATTAGAAGCGCATATAAAAAGAAATCATATTTGCTATATAGCGAAGCAATCAAATTTTGCCCATAGAAACCTGTTTTTACATGAGCACGTGCACTACTAATAGAGCAAATATGGTAAAGCCTGCACTTGATGTAGTTGGCACTAATTTTAATAATTCAAGATTTAAATCACATTTTACTGCAATTACATTTTTGACATAAATGTGCATTATGCAAGATTTGTCTTAACAATAGTGGAATGTGTGAAGGAACGTCCACTAAAGTTTATCTATCAATAATAAAGGTTAGGTAACCTAAAGGTGCAATCTGAGGAATTCTCTTTATTGCTCTGCAACTTTAGTTTCAAATTGTGCACTTCATCATATTTGAATATTCATAAGTTAATGCTCTTGAAAACTGTATGGATTTACATAAATTTGCATGACTTCATTAATGCTGTATTTGTACCATATCAACTCTGTCCATGTTGATAATGTATTGCAAGATCCTCAGAGTGCAACTTTAACATTGCCATGGTAATAAAATACATTTTTTTTTTTTCAATAAAATTTTGATTTGCATGTTAGTTAATTGATCATACTAGTTTCAATTTCCAACTTATTACATGATGTTGTTGTACATAAATGTCCAAAAACAGTTTTTATAATCAAAACTAGACCTAATCATATTTAACATTGCATGTTGGGTACCTCTGCCAATGTAAATATATAGAAATATTAATTTCAGCATCTTCTTTATCAATCAAAACTGCATTTTTTCTTAGATTTATTTTAAATAACAAAAAGAAATTTTCCACTTTTTTTTTACTGAATATATGCTCTTTACAACCAAACCTTGAATATCACCTCAAATTATAAGCCACACATTTCATGCCTTCACAGCCTTCTAGCCAAATTCTGAGCAGAGTCAATGTTATTTTCCCAATTTACGAACACCACATACATACAAAAGACAAATTTGTCATTCTTGATCTCTCAAAATACAGCACAAGATGAAGTTTATTTAAAAAAGTTTTCTACAAGTTATATAGCCCCAATATATTTGAAAACATTGTATTGTGTAACCTATTACTGTTCGTTTTGTCAGATTGCTATTTTATGCAGAATTTAGATTTTTACAAATATTTTTTTTTACAACACCAATACACAAGTGTTAAACAATCACTAGTAGATATAATACATCGAAAGTGGTGATTGGTACTGGTGATTAGTCAAAATAACCACGCATACCGGGCAATAGTAGATATACTTCTTTATATTGATTATACTTTTTTTCAAATTTAAATACTCGTCAAAATACTCAATAACGTCTAAAAAATAAAGTACAACTCACCACAAAACAAACAAAATGAGAGTCTCAAATAAAAAAAAATACCATTGATAAAATTGACAGTTAACTGCCAGAAATACTACAATATTTTTAACAAAATAACAAATATGATAAAGCTTCAAAAACTTTACTGTTTCATGTCATTAAAGAGGTACATAGATGCAGCAGTTTGGGTAAGAATACTGTTGCATATTTCGCCGAGGGTGTCAATATATTGCATACATTCATAAACCACTAACATAGGACACTCACTGTGTGGAATATAAGCAGTGTGACGCATTATACAAATGATATGTCAAAGGTCGTATAAATTAACGAGTTGACGGGACTAAATCTTTGCACAGTTATATCCCTAACTCTTTGATATGTAACTTTAGAAAAATAAAAATAAAAATCGGAAGATGTTTTTGTTTTTTTTTTGTTGAGCAGTTCAGGTCACTTTTGCCATACATCAGTACCAGTAAATGTTTCTGTTTATAATCATAAAATGGCTTGAAGACTTCAAAACTGACAAGATATTAAGCACTGTGAAAGACTGTTGGTGGAGTAGTCCGAACTGCTTTGGTAAAAAGCATAGTATTATCACACCTATCTGTTCATTATTAAGAGGGTGTCCAGTTAGTACCCTATAATTACAATGGTTATAACCACCATTCTGTTCATAAGCTAGACTCTGTTTTGTGTTTTGTCGTTATTTATTTACAGACAGATGCTATGCAAGGCACATCTAATAGAAGTGTGCAAGACGTGATACTCGCCAATAATAAAATTATATTGTTGCCTGATGTAAAGAAAACCAGTCTCTGCATACAATTTAAATTCAAACTAATCATTTTCATAACGTTTCAGAAGACATTGATAGAGAGACATGTACTAAACATTATTAGAATTACCACTGGACCATGATATGTTTATTTCATGCATGATCCGCTGACTTTGAGGAGATTAAATAAAGTACAAAACAAGTAACTAACAGATAAATCCATTGCACAGCAAAAACACAAATCAGAGCTCAGTTGATAATTGTGAACACGCTCAAAGCAACTTTCCAAAACATTCTTATAATACGTAACTGGACCTTTTAAAAAACGTCCTTGCAGCATAGAAGATAAAAATGCAGCAAGGCAGAGTAAATATTCTGTGAGTGAAATATAGCAACAAATCTACACTATACAACAATACAAAACATCTTGAAATTTTGAGTATGTGCAACAAACTCAAACTTCATAAGTTGTTCACAGCAATGGGTAAACAGAAAACAAAACAGGGGATTTGAGATAAATAAAATATAGTGTTTGTGATGAATAATGAAATGTGTAACAATCATCCTTATTGAGCCTAATAGCAGTGCATAGTCTTCTTTTATTAGGCAAAATACATAACTTTCTGGGTGTCCTGGTGGACCTGTATTGCCCTTGCCATGGCAGAATGTGTCCTTTCACCGTTCCCAGTTGAACCAGAATGATGGCTTCCTTCTCCACTATGAAAATAAAATAATGAGTAACATATGAGTAATGTCTGTCAACAAGTGTTAACATTAAATCAGGTTGAAATTGGGAAGGTTCACTAACGATACATGAAATCTCCTCCAAATGGTGGAATAATCAGTGATTAGCAGATGTCACAAGTTTTAGGTTTGCTCATAAAGCAACTTGACTCACAATAGAACATTAGTACTATGAAATTGACACAATGGAAGACACATTTACAATGAATTAATGTATTAGGTAGTTAACGGAAACACACAAAAACATTTCATGAAATTAATACCATGCTGTGCAACTAATGAGATGAAGTAGTCCAAAGTTCAAAGGGTGACGACCCAAAAAGAAGAGGAGGAGTCAGTCAAAGCAAATTTACTTTCAGTGGAACACAGACAATAATTAAGTTCTTAGGACGCCTATTGTAAGAATATTGATTGCTAATACCGGTAATCGTATATTTAGGTAACGTTCAGAAATCAACTCAATTAAAAAAATTTGACAGAACATTTATACAGGTTTACATTATTTCTGACAATAAGCCAAAAATCTAAATACAATGAATCTGGAAAAAATGGCTTTATTTTGGCAATATAGAAATACTTTTGTGAAGTCTTAACAAGACATGTACTAAACACCTTCATTGCTTGGCAGATAATTTTATGAATTGTGCTCTTTCCTAATTATGAATTTATTGTTTTGTTTACCAATATTAAGAAATATTAAGACAGTTTGATAAATTCAAGATAATGTAAATAACTTATCACAAACCCAACCAAAATTGAATCACATTGGCAGTAAGGCCGTATATAACAGCTACAGCAAACAGTCAGTTATACTACATTCTTGTTAATCATCAGACTTTCAAAACTAATTAACAAAAGTCAAATTGCAAACATGTTTTTACAGCTCAGAGTAAAAAGGTATCAGGTTAGTTAAATCAACAATGCCTGGGTGCAATTTACACAGTATTTCAGTATTCTTATAAGTGATATCACAAATAATATATTGCCAAAACACAGCATGATCAGAAAAATGTACACCCCGCAACTAGCAATAAATCATTTAGTTTGTGTCTGGTTGTGTCATCAAGTCTGTCAGTTTGTCAGTACGGCATTTTTCATATAACATTCATTGTTCAAGTATAGTATGATGTCAATACCGAACACAATATTATTTGTGTAGAACTGAAAGGTATTAAAGTGACCACAACATATCTAAAAAATACAGTATTAGAGATTACAACAGTTTGCTTTGCCCAACTATTATTATACATGTACTTTCAGCTGCTGTGGTTTATAGAAATAAGGAATCTAGAGTTTCTAAAGTCAATTATTATCTATTGATTTATATAATATATGAGAAGTAATGAGATTTGCTTTCATCTTAACATGACCAATTGCTGAGTATTAGCTTTTTGGCAAGCTAGCTTGCTGCATTAGCAAACAATGTGAGGAAAAGAACACACACACAAGTGGCTCTGTTTAGAATAACAGACATGCATTTCAACTATCACTATAAGAGGAACAAGAGCTTGAATTATTAAAATCGCAGCCACTCACTTGCTGTTGTTTCCAGATTGATGTCCACTGCTACAACGGAAAGGAAAGCAAAAAAAAAAAAAGACAAAAAAAAAAGCTGATTACATACAACATGCAAGTATAAGATATGCGATGCACAATAAGCACTATTTTGTTTCCGAAAGCAAAACATCCGCTTCTCAACTTATGCAGACTTTCTTCAGTTTGTAAAATGAAATAAATTATGAAAAACACAAGCTAGCTGAGCTCGGGTGTGATATGGAGAAAGCTTATAATGTATGTGACTGGGACACTCACTTGTTAGTTGTAGACGGATGACCAATGCTATAGAGGAAATATATAAACAGGGTGACCATCAAGAGTTAGAAAAAAGATATATTATATGTAGACAGATAGATAGATCCAAATTATTTAAGGAGCAGTCTGGTTAAACTACTCTCTGAATGGGTCAGTAATCTGCCTGTCTGCCTGCCTGTGTCTGTCTGTCTGTCTGTCTCATGCCTGTTTACAGTCATTGGCCCAAACATGACAATGTTCAGTCCACTACTCCCTCATCACAAAATAAAACAGACTGAGTTTGGCTAACTTCAGCTAGCAGATCAATGCAAGACAATTTGTGAAGACAAAGTGAGTGACTTGGGTAGCATGTACAAAATGGATGGATTCCATACACCCCACATCGTCTGACTGACTGAGTGAATTAACAAGAAGGAATTGCACGGGATGTCACCGATCATATGTGGACTTCTGAGAACAGTATGGTGCTGTCAGCTGTCATTGTCCGTCCGTCTGTTTGTCTATGGAATACAGCATGTTCTACCGATATCACATTATGGTTCAAAAGAAGCATAGGTAGCTATGGTTCAGTTTTCTCCTCATAAATTCATGAACAATTCAAAACTTTTGTCAAGACAGAACAAATTTGGTGCTTTATAACATACTGACTCCCCCTCTTCCAGGATGCAGTGGGCCTTTAAAACTGTGTGCACACATTCACTGCATTAAGCTTTTGCAAATCATTAGATGATTATTATTTGATGATGTTATTCATTATTATTCATACAAGAAACTTTTGCTGACAAGCAATAATAAAACAAATTTCAGCAGCAGCCGTAACATTTGCATACACCTGTATCTTGCAACTTGCTTTTAATTAAGTCATTAATATTAAAGGCTTTGTTAGTATCCTCTAAATTTTAATAGTTTAAACTGAATATCAGGATTAAAATACTAGAAATTTTGCCCACCAAATATTAAAGACAGTTGGTGGGTAAAACAAAAGAGATTAAAGCAAGAAGATGAACTATGCAACGATATATTCATCTCTATTTTATGATGTGTGCATTTGAGATGTCACTACAGACATGCAGTTAAGTCGAAGATAAACAAATAATTTGATGAATTAACTTTTTCATGTCCAGATTTGCATCTTGTATTGAAAAACAAAACATCTTTTTTTTTTTGGACATTTTTCCAGATGTGTTTTAAATCACTGAGACTGTAGTATATTGCTCTGAAAACTAGTGGCATTGATTGTCATGATTTTTTAGTTAGAAATAAATACATGTTTGGGCTGGCAGAATTGCCCAAAGACATATGGACAGACAAACAGACAGACAAATGGACAGACAGACCACATTATGCTTTCTGTTAAAAACTTCTATTATACATAGAATTGTAGGATACATCATTAAGAAATAAATGCTATTCAGGTTTGCAGACCTTATGCACAAACTTGTTCTCAAACAAGATTGTGCTATTTCTTGTCAATGGTTTCACCCTCAATATTCATGAAAGACTGGAGACATTTGGAAAGCTGAGATGAAAATAGAATTGTACCATCATACTGTGCTGGTAAAATTGTAAACTAATTTTGAAATTGTTAACTTTTTAAAAAGATTGATGTGTTGATAGCAATTCTAAAAGGATCATTAGTAAATTACTTTCAATAAATTGCTGAGTAAATTAACAAAACAAGTTAATTCCCAAATTTTTTTTAGCTAAATTTCCAACACTGTTTTTTTTTTTTTCATACAGTACAGTATGTACAGTTGTGTAATGTTCTAAAGTATTGCTGAAGTATAGCTGCTTCAGTACAAAAACACATATTTCATGATATTGGTTTTCATGGTACATTACAAATATCCTAATAATATCCCTGCATACATGTAGTTTATTGAATATTGTTTGTACTACACCGACAAGTCTCACTACAATCATGTTATATGCAGTAAAACGATCAATGCTCTTAAAATTTCAAAGCAAGCCAATTATAAATTTAAGGAAGGATATACAGACCAGTCCTTTCTTTTAAAGGCTCATAAAAATTGTCACCTAGGACATATGCAAAATTATTTCTGAACACATTGAAAGCAGTCCCACAACTCATGTCAGTGCTTTTAGGAGATATTTGTGGTTTTCCAGCCTTTTCCAAAAGGCAAGTCCTGACAGGCAGAAATAAACATTAGAAGAAGTTCTTCACTCAAAACTGATCGACAAAAACATGTTTCTGACCAAATGTCTCCAGTCCCTAATCATCAGTTCAGTATTCTTTGAAGAAAAACTGATCAATAATCAATCTGAAGATATCAAAAATCATTTTTCTTGGCTCCATGACTAAATATGGACATATAAAGCGACTTAAAATCGAAATGTTTCATAATACAAATGTGAGAAAACGAAAGAAAAATAATGATTCTTACTCTGATAATCCTGAATACCCTTGGTTGCTACATAAAAAATAAACATAAAAACAGTCATATAACCTGTAGAGGGCAGCACATTAAGTAACTAGCAACAATAAATAAAGTGATGGTAAGAAATGATTTCTGAGTCATTTAAAAAAACTAAAAAAAACAAAAAGTTTCCAAGTACTGCACTGTGTAAAGAAGCTGTATTGTGAACTAGTGTGTTCATGCTCCATAAGTTCAATAAGGGGTACCTGGAAAAATGCCAAGCAAAATATGGTCAGCAAATTTTGGTGAGAAAAATTCTGACAATCTGATAAAACATGATATTGAAATACATATAACACTATGTATGTTTATGTGAAAGCCCTTGCCCGCCCGCTTCAAATGGTCAAGTCTGTGATGACAAGGATGCCTTAACTGATTTGTCAAGTTAAACTGTGCACACCAAGTTTTGCTCACAACTTAACCAGCCTCATTCAGGATACATGTTTAGAACAGCACCTTCTAATGAGGTACAGCAAAAAACACAGGGTTTCCACAGCAGTGAGGTTCAGCCCATATAAGATTTTTAAGATCAATAAAAAACAATTTAAGACTTATAAGGGTTTTGGAGGCAACTTACACAATCTCTTGTATCATTGCACAGTATAAGCACTGTGACGATTTTTTTTTTACA